CCTGTCCTCATGCTGGTTACGGGGCATGAGGCCGAGGCCCTGTCCTCATGCTGGTTTTATGTACTTATGCTAAGGTATGACGCTGAATGGCATTTCTTAGGAAGCGTTTAGGTCCAGGTTGAAGGCCATGAAGTGCCTCCAATGGGCCGTGACCCGCCTGCTCTTCCTGGCACGTTCCCTCCCTCGTCAGGGTCCTGGGGAGACATTGTGGCAGGCAGGCCATTACTGACAGAGCGACAGGACCATCCGTGGGGCACCCCCCCCAAAGGCGGGTGCTGCTTCAGGCAAGTGCGCGCCTAATCGCTCGGCAAAAGGGCTCGCCTCCCCACTTCGCCGGGCGGGACAAGGTGATAAATCGGAGCCCCGGTCGCCCGCCGCCACCTGCTCCACGGGCTGATTTTCTGCTCAGCCGCTCCCAGGAAGAGCGGGGGGGGGGGCTGTGCCTGTATGAGATGAGCAGAAGGAGCCGGAGCGGAAGAGACGAGGAGACAGAAAGCATCATCCCCTAGTCTCACCTGGAAACCAAATGGGAATGAGCCAGACAGCGGTGGGAACAGACATACTGTCAAAAGCAGCCTGACGGACGGCAGGCGATGCAGGAGATGCACCTTAGCTTTGCTGTATTGTTCTGTCGCTCTTTAAAATATCTTATTGTTTTGATAAAGGCCATTTTTTACTTGTTTTTGCTGCTAATTGTTCTACCTTTTAATAAATGGAGTGATTACTACACAAACTACCCTTGTCAACCTATCAAAGAAAAGAACAGGAATCAATCTGTCAACAGATGCAGAGTTCCTGATTTCAAGTCACCTGGTGGCCATTTTTTTTTCTCTTTTTGGGGTTTGCAAGCTACGCCCCACTGCTGCAGGAAGTCGGATGACATCTCATGCGAAAGGATCAGTTAATTGTGCTTTACAGAAGAAGAAAAGATTAGGTAATAAAGATGAAGCGATAAAGATGTCTCCTAGGAACGTGAGCATCGCTCAAATCCAGAAAACACCTGTATGCAGAGCATGTGGACGTGGCTGCAAGCCAGTTACCTGGCTGCGGTCCAGCTGCCGTCTTTTAAAGTCCCATCTGGGGGGAATTATCTCGCAGGCCGGACGCCACGCTGCCTCAGGCAGCTTGGACACGTTCACCAGCCCATTCCTTATCTCCATATTTCCAGCATTGTCCAACATGTCAAACAAAAACAAGCACTTCCTGTCACTGTCTCCTCACTCCCAAGTCCCGGTTCCTGTTCCTCCTGCTTCCCCATCTGGGGTATCACGCGGGACGCGGACAGTCAGCTGATCCCCTGTATGCCCCCCCCCGACCACCCCCCCGCCTCGGTGTCGGCACCTGCCCGAGCACGTCCCTGACCGTCACTGTGCAGGTGAGCCACATGATTGGACTCAGTCAGGAGGCCTGATTAATGGGTCCCTCCCCAGCTACGGCACGTTCCATCAATCACGNTGGCCCCAGCCAAGCAGTAACGGCATTCATCTTAATCTCTGTATGCATTCAGCTGGACAGGTCAGAGTCACCATGATGGAAAACAATAATATTCTCCTGTACAAATTACTCTGTGGAGACATGGCAGCCGAAAGTCTTAAGCTCACCCCCCTGCAGCCCCCCCACAGATGTGCTCCACATTGATTGTTTACAAGTCAGTTGTCACTTCAAAGCAAACGCCATCTTAATGAATAGTAATGATTGTGTGGAGGGTGCAAGACAGGTGATGCATGATGCCTTGTTTTTTATTATTATTATTATTATTATTATTGTTTTTGTATTTTTATTTATTATTTTTCCTGTCATTGTAACAGCAGGACGTCCCGGAACACTTTAGGAAAATCTACTTACGCATTTCCCGTGGTATATTTCTTTTTATTTAATTAAATCATTTTTAAGGGAGGTTAATGCTTAGACGACTTTCTGGAAGTTCCCGTAATGCACGGGCAGGCATCGTGGCCAAGAGCTTGGATTTGATTTCTGAAAATGGAAGAAAAAAAAACTCAGAAGAAGCTGTAACTTTCAGCACGGTAAAGTTTATATTTTAATGATTTTTTTTTTTGACTGCCATGGACAGCACTGCAGGTCCAAGACAAGGTTTCAAAATTCACTGATGGTAAAAATTAATTTAATGAGTACAGCCTCAGGATTAAGAAATGAAAAAGAAAAGAAAAAAAACGCATAAAATCCAGCTGCGTATCTAACACACGG